GGCTCAAACAGAGCTGTTTTCCCTCTCATGCCTTTGGGAGCCCTCCCCTCGCCCATAATCCCACATTAGGCACCGTCCTTTAAGTCCATGCAAAGAACAAAGAACTGAGCACTCTCAGTCTCAGTTTCTTTATGCTACTAGTTACTGTCCTGTCCCTGTTTTATAACATGATTGACATGAGAACGTGGCAAAGCACAGAGCAATTATTAGAAAATAATTGGAGCGATTAAAAAATTGGTACTTTGCACAAATCCACAGATTTGTACTATCATTTGCATGTAGATCGTACTTTCATTTTACTAGTAAGCAAAATACAAGTTAGATAAAAGATAGATCAAAAATTGTTTATATTGAAAGAGAACTATGGCTAATGTTAATCCTACAACTTGTAAGGGCTCTCAACATAAATATCACGAATAAGTTTTAACATGTTACTTAATTTTATTCGACGATGATAACATGACGCGACTTTCTACTCATAGTTTACGATTCCTGATTTTCACAAAAATACGCTTCAGTCATGATCTCTTACGCAATGATAAATGCTTGAAAAATATGAATAATGTATAATTAATATTCGATACATTGCAAAAATTATTTAACGATATTCCCTTCAAATCCTATGGAAAATTCTTTTTTACAAATCTACGATATACAATTACAATTGAACTTTCGTCGGCTGGTGCTAAACGGAAATCGTTTGCGTACAGGCGACATTATGGTAAACGTCTCTCAATATACTGCAGATTTTTATGCAAGATTATATTCTGAGAAATGGGAACTGCTAGGATTTTTCATCTTTTCAATTAAATAATTCATTATTTCAATCCACAGTTATGTGTAATCTTTCAAATTTTCCATAAATCGATAAGAATCCGCAGTCTATCATCGATTGTAACGAGTTCAACATAGCCAATGTAATTCTTAATGTTAGGCACTTTTATAACGGAAGACATTAAACAATACGGATTGCGTTTTTCTCCGTTATGATTGGATCCCATGGCTTAGTAAGACACGGACAAATTAGCCCAAAAATACTTGATCACTGCCTCCTTAAAATTTTTCTTCATAGTATTACTTAACAAATTAATTCTATCGATAATTATAGCTTAATGATCTACGAATATTCGGAATAGTGGAGAATATGAACTTCGGGTCGAACCGGGAAAACACTTTTCATGGACTGCGATATTTTACGCAAAATACATTTGTAATGTGAATACGCTAAAATCTATATAGATTAAACTTTTTTTTCTTCATTGGTATTAGTGATTTGTACAATTATTATTTTGATGTTTCACACATTTTTTAACATTCATTTTTTTCTATAAATGCATTAAATCTGGAGTCGAATCATGACAAATCAAAAGATTTCATTTGTCCCGACCAGACCCAAATCCACGATCTCAGATATTCGCAGATCTACATATAAACGATTAATGTAAATCCATTTAATTATCGAAACACATAGATATAAAGAAAACTGAAAGGAACGTTGATGTAGATTGCATAAATGCATTGATGATGATCGTATACTAAATTTACTTATACTCTCCTATTCTATTTAATCAAAATACCATTGCCAAAACAGCTAAAACAAATGTGCGGAATGTGTTAGAATAATTATATAGAATTCTATAAAACATTCATAGATTTCTACCTAGAAGTATATAATATAATTGCATATAACGCTATCAAACTTTGTTGTCCATTATTTGAATTAAACTAAACTTGTATGAATGTTGTACATCGTTCACATCCTACAACATTTTCCACAAGTCCTCTAATTATTTCGCGACGATTCATACTGATTTGAAAATTTGATATAAACGGAAAATAGTGCATGTGACGTTAGTGATCGAACATCTCAACTGATCCATTGAGATTTTTAACATCAAAAACTATTCAATGTACGTCTTACGTATTAATTTTTACAACAACGTTTACTGAACTAAAAAAAACTTGTTGATCAATCTTCAAGCGGCAATTTTTCGTCGTCAAATATAGATCCGTCGTCCGATATCTCGTCGTCCAACTCTTTTTTCCTCGTATCCCGCACCTTCTTATGCGACCGTTTAATGGAAGTTTCTTGTATCATCTTTATATAGCTTTTTGTCTTCAAACAATTCGGTGGCGTCACCGTAGTCGATGCATTCTCATTACTAATGCTTTCTTCATTATCAGGCGCAAAGCTCGTCGAGGCTTTACCATCGACCGACTCGTTATTTAATTCATTAATTTTTTTATCCATCGTTTCACACGAAAGGTTTAACATACTTTCACTGTTTCTTAAAGGCGTCCCATCTCCTACGTTGAAGCCCTTGCGTGAAACATTCCCACGCTTGTTCTTCTTGTGCGACTTCTTGATGGAATCCAGATTAACGTACAATTCTGTCGTGGACATATTTCTCGGCGTCGATCTACCCTCTTCGTTATTAGCTTCAGACTCCATCGTTATAACATCGTTACCCGTTTTCACACTATCCGGTATATTTACTATAGGTGTTAAACATCGAGAGAAATTATTTAAATTTCTTTGGGATGGAGAATCGTATGGGTGAGAGTATTCTTTGGGAATTGCGGAAACGATCGCTCGTTTCCTTTTAAGAGGCGAGAAGATTTGAAATTCTTCCTTGGATAAATCTGATTCGGGTAATTCGAATTCGCAAGACGTGTCTAAAGACGAATCAACCACCTTCTTCCTTTTATTCGGAGATACCAAAGTCGTAGGATCTTCGATATTAATTCCCAAATCAGAATCGTCAGTACTATTTTTACAATCCTCGTCAAATGGTTTGTATTTACAGTTTGCCGCGAAGTCCATATCTTTATTGAAGTACTCCTGACGTTTTAAGAAACCGGATAGAATCTTGTTATGTTTATCCTTTCTATGGGATTTTTTCACAGAGCTGTATTGAGATAATAATAATCTACTGGAATTTATGTTCTCGGGAGTGGCGGATCGTTCAGTTTTTGGCGACACTGGAAAAGTGTTTTCGAAGCTTCGATTTTCTCGTTCCTCAGTTTCGAACTTTGTTTGCAGAATCTTCGGAGTGAATAATCGCCTCTTATCGTCTTTAACCTTCTTATGAGATTTCTTTATGGAATCGTTGGCGACTCTTTCTAAAATGTTTATGCGATTCTTGGGAGTAACTGGCTTTCCTGATACAACTTTGGGTTCCGGAGTTAAGGATCTGGTATTACATTTTAAATCTTCATTCGACAAATTAGGGTAGTTGTTCTTTTCGGTTAATTCTTTTTTATCTTGGATTTCCATTTTAATATCCAGTTCCTGTATTTCAGGTAAAGTTTTCAAGTGACTTATACTATCGCAGATATTTTTCGAGTCTTCCAAAACATCTTCAGTTTTTATCCCATGTCCCTGTTTTTCAGATAAATCGTGGATTATATCATCGGATATATCTTTTGAGTCTTCGAAAACATTTTTCTGCTCTGTTCCAATTTCCCGTATTTCAGATAAATCGTTCACATTGATTATATCATCAGCTATATTTGTTGCGTCATTGAAATCATTTTCTCGTTCAGTGTAATCAAAGAGCGAGCCCGTCTCTGATATGTCTCCTTCAGAATGTTTACTATATTGTTCGATATAGGTTTTAACGTCTTGCAAGGCATCGACGTGTTCGTTCGATAGATTTTCAAGTTTTTCTTTGTAATCCTCGATTCCTTCACCTCGCCTTGATCTCTCCTGCAAGATACGAATTATTAAGTTTTTATCGTTAGATGAAATATTGTATTAAGTTATGCTAGTAATTTTTGTATAAAATGTCATTTCAGTCATTATATAAGACAAGCTATTAAACGTTATGCCACTATTTATTATAAAAATCATACAAGATGTAACAAAAAGATCGCGACAACTGGGTAACTTGTCAGAAGCTAGATTGTTTTGTACAAAAGTATTCGGTTTCAACCCCAAGAAGTCAATAGAAACCTTCAAATAACCTTGGGAGGTTACATTGGCCCAACTTTCGAAAATGTAACTAAATGTAAAATTCCCCCGCTCTTTTCACTTCCGGCATCAGAAGTGAGAGTTCCCATTTAACACTAAACCTACCACGCACCGTTTAATTGACTGTTCTTAAATTATTCTATAAAAAATAAAAAGAAAACGGGATTTGCCTTGTTATATTGGTATAGTTATAATTATTATTTAAACTAGGACCAAACTGAAGTACCAGTGCCAACACTAAATTGCACTCAAATGTAAATAATATAAATATAGTATATTAGTGCACAAAAAGTGTCGGTAGATTTAATGTTAATGAGATGATCCCAAAATTCAATCTCTGAGGCTAAATCGAGGTCTCTGCCGAGATTCCATGGATCATAGCTTAATACTTTTGTATAAAATATTTTTGCCAAAATCGTGATCCTGACAAATTATCCAGATCTTTCTGTTAGAACAATCCTGTGTGGTTCAAAGATTAATGTGACACTTGCTTACCTTCTTATGGCTCCTCTTGATAGCGCTCATGCTTTCCGGGACAATGTGAATCACATTCTTGGGCGTGCTAGGCCTATCATCATCTTTTTCATGAAATTCATGATACAAATTCCTCGAAGTATTTAAATTGCTCAAAAACTTAGACCTGCCCTTAATATGCGAATTAGGTGTCGCAGTGACACAAATGATATCATCAATAGTTTGCTTCAATCTACTGCGTAACATGGGGGTAAAATTAGCTCTCCTACTGAACGTCGCATTTGGTGTAGAAAAATGTAAACCTTCCTGCTTTTTCGCACTTTGAGACGGTGTTTCGTTCTGATTTTCGTCCATTGACTCAGGAGATGAGAATACTATGCTACTATTTGCAGATCCAGCAGAGCTATCGTCAAAGCTTAATTTGTTCGAAACGGATAAAGGAGAATTGAAGTTCATACTAAGAGATTTTCGGATATTTCTCTTCACGGGCTTAAACCTTTTTGGACTCGGTGTCAGATTGAAATTCAACGACTTTTTTATTTTAGTCTTTACGAAATAAGAAGGGCTGCTGTTGAAATTCAGAGCTCTCATGATCTTAGCGGATCTAGACAAGTGCTTGTCTTCTTCGAATGAACTATCCGAACTAGAATTATGAACGGAATTACTTGGGTCGAGGTTTAATGATCTGCTCATTTTGTATTGTACGGAACGTTTGCTCCTGTTAGGAACTGATCTGCTGCACGACACATATCTGTGTTTCAATGCTTGTTTGTTCCGTGCTATAGGACTCCAAGCAATAAAGTATTTCTGTTTCAAGTCGTTATCGTAAGTAGGAGCATAATCTTCCTTACTTTTATCGTTAGTCATTTTTACTTAGATTTATTCGATATGTTTTGAACATAAAGAGTAACGTGTGATGTTGGATTTTTACAACTCCATGTGATTGAAAACTTCTAATGAATTTCAATTGTGATTAGTTTTCAAAATGTTCCACAGTCCTATCTTGAAAATATACATAATGAACACC